CACCGGCCCCACCTTGGCGCGCACCTTCGCCTCGAAGGCGTCGTCGGCCGTCTGCTCCAGCTCTTCGCACCCGGGGATGGAGGCCTTCAGGACCTCCGGGTCGTTGAGGGCCGCCCAGACCTTGTCGCGCGGGGCCTCGATCCGGTACTCGCCGGTCATCTGCATGGTGTCTAGCCTCCGTGGAACTCCTCGCGCAGACGCTACCACCGGGCGGCCCCGCCGCCAATTCCACGCGACGCGGGCCGGGCCGAAGTCGGCGCGCGCGGCCCTTCATTTGCGCAGCCATCGCGCGGAAATCTACAGTGCCGAGATGGACCTTTGCGGCCGTTTCGGCCATCGGGCATACTCCCGCGCCATTCGGGCGGCGGGCGCCGGCAGGCTGGCGCCAGCGCGCCGCAGGCCGCCCCGCTGCCTGCCCGGGCCGTCGGGGGGTCGGGCTTCACCAGACCGAAGGATCATCACTTGCTTGCCTACCTGTCTGTCGCCGCCGGCCTGAAGGCGCTCTTCTTCGGCATCTTCGGCCGCGGCCTTGCGATGCGGCTTGGTGGACTGCTTGCGGCCGGGCTCGCGCTGGCGGGATTGGCCCTGTCCGGGCTCCTGGCGACGAGCGGCGCGGCCCTGGCGGCCGAGGGGGTCGACAGCGGTGCGCCGCACCTGGAGGGGGCCGACCTGACGCTGATCTGGGACATCCCCTTTATCGGCATCCTGTTGTCGATCGCGGTTTTCCCGCTGGTCGCGCCGATCTGGTGGCATCGCAACTTCGGCAAGGTCTCGGCCTTCTGGGCCCTGGCCTTCCTGATCCCCTTCGCCCTGGTATTCGGCTGGGAGCTGGCGGCCTTCGAGATCATCCACGTCGCGATCCTCGAGTACATCCCCTTCATCATCCTGCTGCTGTCGCTGTTCACCGTGGCCGGTGGCGTGCGGCTGAAGGGCAGCCTTCGCGGCACCCCGGCGGTCAACACCACGATCCTGGCGCTCGGCACGGTGCTGGCCAGCTTCATGGGCACCACTGGCGCGGCCATGCTGCTGATTCGGCCGATCCTGCGCGCCAACTCCTGGCGCCGGCACCAGGTGCACACGGTGGTGTTCTTCATCTTCCTGGTCGCCAACATCGGCGGCTCGCTGACGCCGCTGGGCGACCCGCCGCTGTTCCTGGGCTTCCTCAAGGGCGTCGACTTCTTCTGGCCGACCACGCACATGTTCGTGCCCATGCTGGTGATGGCCGTGCCGCTGCTGCTGATCTATTTCGCCTTCGACAGCTACCTCTTCCGCAGCGAGGAGCAGCGCGAGGCGCCGGCCGAAGCGGGCGACGAGGCGAAGGAGCCGCTGGCGTTGGAGGGCAGCTTCAACATCGTGCTGCTGCTGGGCGTGATGGGCTGCGTCCTGTTGAGCGGGCTGTGGCAGCCGGGCCTCTCGATCGAGATCTACCATACGGAATGGGCGCTGCAGAACATCGTGCGCGACTTGCTGCTGGTGGGCATCGCCTACGTCTCCTGGCGGATGACGCCGCGCGCGAGCCGCGAGGCCAACGGCTTCACCTGGTTCCCGATCCTCGAGGTGGCCAAGCTCTTCGCCGGCATCTTCATCACCATCATCCCGGCCATCGCCATGCTGCGGGCCGGCGAGAACGGCGCCCTGGCGGAGATCATCCGCTCGGTCACCAAGGAGGACGGCCAGCCCCTGAACTACATGTACTTCTGGGCCACCGGCGTGCTGTCCAGCTTCCTGGACAACGCCCCGACCTACCTGGTCTTCTTCAACACCGCCGGCGGCGCGCCGAACGTGGAGAAGCTGATGACCGAGTGGGCGGAGACGCTGCTGGCGATCTCCACCGGCGCGGTCTTCATGGGCGCCATGACCTACATCGGCAACGCGCCCAACTTCATGGTCCGCTCGATCGCGGAGGAGCGCGGCGTGCCGATGCCCAGCTTCTTCGGCTACATGCTCTGGTCGGTCGCCTTCCTGGTGCCGCTGTTCGTGGTGATCACCGCGATCTTCTTCGCGGACGGCCTGTTGTGAGCGATGCGGCGCGCGCGCGGGGGCGCGAACCGGCCGGCGTGACAGGCGCGGGACGATGAAGGCGGCGCGCTTCGAAGCTTTCGGCGCGCCGCTGGAGGTGGTCGAGGTGGCCGACCCGGCCTGTCCGCCCGACGGCGCGGTGGTGCGGGTGCAGGCCTGCGGCGTCTGCCGCTCGGACTGGCATGCCTGGACCGGCGCCGACCCCGACGTGACCGCGCCGCACGTGCCGGGCCACGAGTTCGCCGGCGTGGTCGAGGCGGTGGGGCCGCAGTGCCGCGCCTTCCGGCCGGGCGAGCGGGTCACCGCGCCCTTCATCCTCTCCTGCGGGCGCTGTGCCGCCTGCCGCGACAGCGACCCGACGGTCTGCGCCGCGCAGCAGGTGGTCGGCTTCACCGGCTGGGGCGCCTTCGCCCAGTTCGTCGCGGTGCCGCACGCCGACGTCAACCTGGTGCGCCTGCCGGAGAGCCTCGACTTCGCTGCCGCCGCGGCGCTCGGCTGTCGCTTCACCACCGCCTACCGCGGCGTGGTCGAGCGGGCCGGCCTGCGTCCGGGCGAATGGCTGGCGGTGCACGGCTGCGGCGGGGTGGGCCTCTCGGCGGTGATGATCGGGGCGGCGCTGGGCGCGCGGGTGCTGGCCGTCGACATCGCCGACGCCAAGCTGGCGCTGGCTCGCGAGCTGGGGGCCGCGGCGACGCTGGACGCCTCGACGGTCGACGACGTGGGCGCGGCGGTGCGCGCGGCGACCGGCGGCGGCGCCCAGGTCTCGGTCGAGGCGCTGGGAATCACCGCCACCCTGCAGGCCTCGCTGGCCGGCCTGGCGCCGCTCGGCCGCCACGTCCAGATCGGCATGCCCACCGGGGCCCATGCCACGCCGACGATCGCGCTGCTGGACCTGATCTACGCGCGCCAGCTCACGCTGCTGGGCACGCGCGGCATGGCGGCGCGCGGCTTCCCGCCGTTGTTCGAGCTGATCCGGCAGGGGCGGATCGCGCCCGGGCGCCTGGTGACGCGACGCATCGGGCTGGACGCGGCCGGTGCCGCGCTGGCCGCCATGGAGACCTATTCGGGAGTCGGCGTGAGCGTGGTGACCGACTTCGAGGGGTAGCGCGGCGCCGGCGCGCGAGCGCGCGAACGAGACGGGGGCGGCCGCAGGGCCGCCCCCGTTTGCTGTGTGTCGTGCGGACCGCGCGGCGCGGTTACGGCAGCAGCACGCCGTCGATCACATGGATCACGCCGTTGTCGGCCATCACGTCGGCCTGGATCACCTGCGCCGCGTTGGGCGAGGCATAGCTGCCGGGGGTGGTGTCGATGAACACGCCGTTGGCGCTGACGCCATTGATGTAGATCGGGTCGAGCGCCATGGTGGTGGCGGCCACCTGGTTGCCGAGCACGGCGCTGGAGGGCACCACGCCGGGCACGATGTGATAGTTCAGGATCCGGCGGAGCTGGGCCCGGTTCTCCGGCTGCAGCAGCGTCTCCACCGTGCCGGCCGGCAGCTCGGCGAAGGCCTCGTCGGTCGGCGCGAAGACGGTGTAGGGCTTGTCGCCGACCAGCTTGGGGACGATGCCGGCGGCCTGCGCGGCGGCGATCAGGGTCTCGAAACTGCCGGCGGCGGCGGCCGTCTCGGCGAGGTTGGCGGCCTTCGCGTCGTCGACCGCGAAGAGCGCGCCGGCGGCGACGCTGAGCGCCAGGGTGGCGTGACGCAGGCGCTTGGTGAAACCGAACATCGGGATGCCTCCTCCAACTCCATGATGACGTGCGGCGCGCGAATCGGCCGCGCGCCGGATGAAGTCCGTGTTCACGAACTTGCGCAACATCTTACGCAACGCACGGGCGCATGGATTGCTCCCGACGCCGGGCGATCACAGCCTTGTCACCCGCGCGCCGGGGAACGCCGGGGATGCCGGGGGGATGCCGGGGGGACGCCGGGGGAACGGTGGGGGGACGCCGGGGCCCGGTGGGGGCCTGCTGTAGAGCGGGGTGTGATCGTATGGCCCCGCTCTAATGGCTGGTTAAGACCGGGAGCTCGGCGTGGCGGAAGACGTGCCGGGTGGCGCCGCCCAGCACCACCTCGCGAATGCGCGAGTGGCCGTAGGCGCCCATCACCAGCATGTCGCTGCCGCGCGCCTTGGCCTCGGCCAGCAGGGTCTCGCCGACGCCGCCGCGGTCGTCGACGTTGACGCCCTCGGCTTCGACGCCGTGACGCGCGAGGTAGGCGACCAGCTCGTGCTCCGACAGCTTGTCCTCCGGCGTCGGGCCGACGGTCATGGCGGTGACCGACTCGGCCGTGCGCAGCAGGTCCAGCGAGCCGCGCACGGCGCGCACGGCCTCGCGGTTGGAGTGCCAGCCGATCAGGATCCTCTTGCCGAAGGCCGGCACCGGCTGGACCCGCGGCAGCAGCATCACCGGGCAGCCGACGTCGAGCACCAGCTCCTCGGCCAAGCGCAGGCGGAAGCGGTCCTCCAGGTACTGGCCGGGCTCGGACTGGCTGAGGATCATCAGGTCGGCGGCGTGGGCGTGGTAGGACAGGGCCTGCAGATGGGCGCCATCCTCGACCACCCAGGTGTGCGACACCCCTTGCTTCGCGCAGCTCTGTTCGAATTCCTTCTCCAGCGCCGCAGCGCGCTCGCGGGCGCGCTCGCGGGCATCGGCGATGAACACGGCCGAGGCGCTGCGCCCGGCGATCACCGGCGGCATGCCGACCGGAAAGGTGATGAACAGAGCGGTGATGTGGGCGTCGTACTGCTTGGCCAGGCGCAGGGCCACTTCCAAACGGTCGGCGTGGTGCGCGTCGTTGGCCAGGTGGACCAGAATGGTCTTGATCGGCATGGGGGCCGGGATCCTTCTCGCGAAAGGCGACGGCCGGTGCGGAGGGCGGCCGTTCGTGCTCGGGTGTTGCCGGACGGCACGCTAGCCGAGGGGCGACGTGGCGGCAACCACGGCGCCGCGCCGGCCAGGCGGCGCGGTGCGCGTCATGGCCGTCAGGGCCGCTCCTGGGCCCAGGGCACGGCCGCGCGGCAGCCATGATCGACCAGGGCGTAGAGGGTCAGCGCCAGCAGCGCCAGCACGAAGAGGGCGGCGAACATCACGTCGGTTTGCATGCGCCCGTTGGCGTCCAGCATCATGCGCCCGAGTCCGGCGCCGGAGCCGACCCACTCGCCGACCACCGCGCCGATCGGCGCGGTCGCCGCGGCCACCCGCAGGCCGGAGGTGAGGGCCGGCAGGGCCGCCGGCAGACGCACGCGCAGCAGCACCGACAGGCGGCTGCCGCCCATGCTGCGCGCCAGGTCGAGCCAGCCCGGCTCGGTCCGCCGCAGCCCGTCGTAGAAGGCCGCCGTGACCGGGAAGTAGATGATCAGCGTCGCCATGGCGATCTTCGGCCCGAGGCCGTAGCCGAACCAGAGCACCAGCAGGGGCGCGATGGCGAAGACCGGGATCGCCTGGCTGACCACCAGCAGCGGCAGCAGCCAGCGCCGCAGCCGCGGCGCCAGGGCCAGCGACAGGGCGGACAGGCAGCCGAGGGCCGTGCCCAGCAGCAGGCCCAGCAGGATCTCCGCCCCGGTCACCCCGGCATTGGCCAGCAGGTCCGGCCAGCGGGTCGCCAGCACGCCGGCGACCCGCGAGGGCGGCGGCAGCAGGTAGGCGGGCACGCCGCTCAGCCAGACGCCGAGCTGCCAGAGGCCCAGCAGGACCAGGAAGACGAGCAGGGGGCGCAGCAGGGTCATGCCGCCGCCCGCGCCCGGCCGAGGCGGTCGAGCAGCTCGCCGTGGCGGCCGAGCAGCGCGGGATCGCTCGGGTCGCGCGGCGGCAGGCCCGCCGGCCGCAGCGGCGGGTCGAGCCGCACCGGCCGCCCCGCCATCACCAGCAGGCTGTGCCCCAGGCGCAGCGCCTCCAGCGGGTCGTGGGTCACCAGCAGCACCGTGCGCCCGGCCAGTCGCGCCGCCGCCAGCGCCTGCAGCTCGTGGCGGGTGATGGCGTCGAGCGCGCTGAAGGGCTCGTCCATCAGCACCACGGGACGGTCCTCGTAGAGGGTGCGCGCCAGCGCCACGCGCTGGCGCATGCCGCCGGACAGCGCCGCCGGGCGGGCGCCCAGCCACGCGCCGAGTCCCAGCTCGCGCAGCAGCGTCTCGGCCCTGTCCCGGTCGGGCCGGCGGCGGCGCAGTCGGTCGCCCACCACCACGTTGCTGACCAGGTCGAGCCAGGGCATCAGCAGGTCCTGCTGCGCCATGTAGGCCACGCGCCCGGCCAGCGGCCGGCCCGCGCCGTCGTGCACGACGCCCTCCGCCGCCGCCTCCAAGCCGGCGAGCAGGCGCAGCAGGCTGGACTTGCCGACGCCGGAGGGGCCGAGCAGGGCGGTGATCTCGCCCGGCGGCAGCTCCAGGTGCAGGTCGTCGAACAGCGGCACGTCGCCGTAGACCAGGCGGGCGGCCTCGACGGTCACGGCGGGCGCACGGCCTTGCGAAACATCGTGCATGCGGCAGGTCACCTCCCTACGCCGGTGTGAACCGGATCAGGTTCCTGGGGTCGTCCCGGGACGGGACCTCTCAGCCGGCCAGCGGCTCCCCCGGTGAAGACGTGCCGCACTATGGCCGCTAGTGCCCGCCAAGGCCAGAGCCGGCTGGGGTGGGAAGCGGCTTGGCGGGCCGCGGAGCCGGGACACTGGACAGGGCGGGTCGGCGCCACCATACCCTCAAGGGCATGACGCAGAGGCAGGACCTGGCGGCGCGCCCCGCGACTCGGCGGCAGACTCCGCAGCAGACCCCGCGGCAAACTCCGCCGCCGCGGCTGATCGGGCACGAGATCTATCGGCTGTCGACCTACGGGCGAAGGCACCCCCTGGCGATTCCGCGCGTGTCCACCTGCATCGACCTCTGCCGGGCCCTGGGCTGGCTGCCGCCGGCGCAGTACCTGGAGTCGCCGCAGGCGACGCCGGCGCAGCTCGCGCGCTTCCACGACCCCGCCTACATCGCCGCGGTGCAGCGGGTCGAGCGCACGCAGCACGCCGACGCCGAGACCAAGGCGCGCTTCCAGTTGGGCGTGGCCGGCAATCCCGTCTTCCCGGAGATCTTCCGCCGGCCGGCGACGGCCTGCGGCGGTGCGCTGCTGGCGGCCGACCTGCTGCTGGCCGAGGGCGGCAGCGTGCACGCGCCGGCGGGCGGCACCCATCACGGCCGGCCCGACCGCGCCAGCGGCTTCTGCTACTTCAACGACCC